ATAATAAACAACAACATTAACATGATGTAAGTCTCAATAATAATTTCAAACGAGCAAAATTTTCGTCAATATCGTGGAGTTACTCAGGAGGGCTACGAAAGGGTAACTTGAGTATGACTAATTTGCAAGGGGCTCGTTACAAAGGGTCCCGGCGACCCTCGCCTTGACTGCGGCCGCCACGTGCCAACCCTGACCTTGAGACACACACACACAACTGCACTTGTTGCACACATTCAAACTTCACCCTCTCTTTTATAAAGGACGCCGTTTAGACGTATCCTGTGCGAAAACTGTGAACTTGGCATGAATTTGTACGTTTGGGTAGATGGCTCTGTAATCGTCGCTTTTCCTATTTTAGTTTAGTATAATTGAATGATTTATGATAATAGGCATGGCGACTATTTTTTAATTTTTTGTCCGTCTTTTAGATATTTTAAAAATCTTCGATACGTATTTTTTTTTTCTCGTATCTAAAAAAACTTGTAGATATTGTGAGTTAAAATGACGCATGACGTCACAGTTAGGTACGATTTCTCCGTAAGTGTGACGTCAACACCCCCCACTCCCTAACTTTAATGCGGAGTAACTACGTATTCTTCTGTTAATTTGATAAAACAAAAAATACGTGTCTGATATTTTCGTGCGATCTTAATGACGGACTAATTACTTTTTTGATTTTTTTACCCTGTCGATACGCCTATTGTTACAGTTTTAGCAAATTTCTTTTCTATATTATATAATCTTATAATTTTATAATCTGTATTGTAATCCTATAATCTTCTAATTATATTCTTTTAATTTTACATTTAGTGTACAACAAAAACGCATGATTATGTTTGAGTTGTCTTTTTTAATCTGGTTTAGATAAGTTCTTTATTAATTAATTTCTATTAAATCAATATGCAAATAAAACATTGCAATGATTTGTAATCTAATTATCTGCAAGGAACTGTTGATCAAAAACATGGCAAAGAGTCATGATACTACAATTTGAACATTACAAACATAGGTACACTTTTTGCGTTTGATTGTTTTTTACTATCATATCAAGTTTGTCATCCGGTTTGTTCAATATATCTACATATATATATTTACTCAGATATTCTAAAACACTCCATGATTCATTAATATATTCAAATTAGAGAGGACCTTTATATCTTTACACCTAACTTGCTACATATCAATTAGGTTAATAGGTTTCTAAACTTATTTAATTCAGATATTATTTATCTTTATAGAGAGGAAGTCAATATAGATTATGATTATCATTTAATTATTTTCTGATTACACATATCGATTTTTTATTGACAATCACGTTTATAATACTGGCACTAAATGACCGAAGTGTAAAAAGTATGATTCAATATTTTAAAAAAAGGATCAAGCATTTGAATTTGGAACGTGAGTAAGTGAAATAGAAATATGCTTAGGGATGGTGTCCCTTTCTTTTAACCAATTTAAGCAAGTTCATACTATATGTGGTGATATTTTATATTGAATATATTTCGCGCATGCGTGCTATGTATTTTATCACCTCACTTAAGTAGAATATTGCATTACTAGTACATATAACACTCATATCTATTATCTACACGTGTGAGTATAAATATTATTTATCATTATCGCACACGATAAAGCGATATTTAACCCTTGAATCGTTTATACATAATAAATGCTTTTAAAATTGCATTGCCTATAAAATAAATAGAAAAAAAATATGAGATACTGTTTCTTTGAGTTTACGATAAATTGAACCTTAAGCCTGGGATTTATGACACTTTTTTAGATTGAACTTAGATAATTATTGTGGCAAGATAAATTTAGATTCTAGTTATCATCATTAAGGTACATTTTCCAAACTTCGCAGTATGTAGTTGTAGTGATCTTAAAATCCCATACAATAGGTTTTTAGAAGCTAAGCAGGCGCCTTTGCAATTGAATATTTGATAAGTTTTACAGTTACACACATGTTTGTTTACATACATACATACATAACCTCGCGCCTTTCTCACATGGGGGTAAGCAGAGACTATGGAACGCCAATTGCCACGATTCCTACATACCTCTTTTGCTTGATTAAGAGTCAACAGTTTTGTTCATCAACAACAATTTTTACCTGTAACTAATTATTAAGTTTGTACGGCTCAAATAACTGGTAACATAACCACAATGTAAAAATTATCGCGTACGTAAATAGTACGTACGTCCGTGTTTGTGGTTGCATTCAATTTAAATATACATAAACATAATACAAGTATATGTGTTTTATTTTATAGTTTTCAATTTAAAATAAATAATTCCAAGACTGTCTATATGTATGTATGTAGTAAATAATTATAACTGAGATGTTATGTAAGTACCTAATAGAGGAATAATGGACACTATTCACGTTGCGTCATTTGACGATTACATGCATCCATCACTAGTTGGGATTAACTTTGCCGCTTCGTTGGCAGTTTCCATTGTTTCTTAGCATGACGCAAGCATTTGTAGGCGGCTATTGCTTGTGAAGGATGCATGCTTTCGTCAAATGACGCAACGTGAATAGTGTCCATTATTCCTCGATTAGGTAGGTACCTATATAACATCTCAGTTATAATTATTTACTACATACACACATAGACAGTGAACAGTAGTGACAGACAGCCCTAAGTATTTTTAATATTAATATTCACATTGCATATTTAATGCAACTTCATCTAAAGGTACACACTACACATTGTAAATACTCGTTGGCTGCCTCCTTGGCCATTCGGCCATTCGGTCGCAAGTGCGATGCAATGGGTCTCGGGTTCGATTCTCGAGTTGGACAAAGTTTTATTGGGTTTTAAAAAAATCTTAGTAGTAGCACGGAGCCTGGAAATGTGCACGGTATATGCCAATAGGCTCACCCTCTATTACTTGAGACTTATAACATACTCACATAGTGAAAAGTGGGTGTAACATTGTAAGTACAGTGGCATAAAGTGCCGTAATGTAAACTTCAGCCTACCCCTTCAGCCATAAAAGGTGTTATATTATTGTAGATAAACTGATTGACTAATTTCATACTACAACACATTGGAATGTAGGTTAAGTTGCAGAAGAGTAAAATGTATTTTAAAATATTGATTTTTTAATTAATTTAGTATGTCTCTCGATAGTTACCGCAAAACAATACTATTTTGTCAAATAGGGTAGATGTCTAATTTTTATTGTAATATCCGTTTGCTAGATTGTTTTAAATCATTAGACACGTATTTTGTATTTTCTTACAGAAATGAAATACTTTCGATTATATTCATATATTGATTTGAAATGTCACTTCTATGTACATTTTATATGTAGAGATGACGTTTTAGCCCCCACTCCTAAACTTTGATTCGTTTTATCTAAGTATTGTTTTATTATAAAAAAATACGACAAAATAAAAAAATACGTGTCTAATATGTATTTTTTCATTACCTAACTGACGGACTAATTAGATTTTTAATTTTCATACCCTGTCATCATCCCAATTATGATGTTTATACTATTTACCAAAGCTCTTTTAATTTACATAGACTACATATGTATTATAGTTGCGCCACAATTTACATAGAATTCTTAGTCATTTGGTCTATAAAGTGCTCTTTATCTTTATATACATAAGGTCTTCTTTCATATCCAATTATATACTATTTATCACAGATCAGCGCGTATCAACTTATTAATTAATTTTAATTACTTCACTCGTTAGTCGAGTGAACATTAAATCGATTGCTAAGCAAGGGTGGCCGATGTTATGAAATAGCCTCACCCCATATACACGGGATTAATGTTGTGACTCGAGGAGTGTGGGTATTACAAGACTTAATGCACCCCTGGTTAACATGCAATTGATTTTTTTTGCATGTAACACATTGACAGGTAAAGTTTTATAAAATTTCTTGCTATTTTTTTTTAGTGTTTGGGATATGTCAGCTGTTTTGAATCCTATATCGTACTGCTAAGGAGTGGCATTCTTTGCCACAGTCTGTATTTCCTGAAGGGTATGACCTGAGTGTCTTCAAGCCCTGAGCGAATTGGTTGCTTATGGGTCGACGTGCTTCATCGTAGGCCATATTATCGCTTACCACCAGGCGAGATAATGGTCAAACGTCAGCTCCATCTAATATAAAAAAAATCGAACCTATGATCGTAAGATTACATAATATCTGATTTTAAACTTTAAATTTACTTTCTATTTAGATTTGTTCTAGACTTTTTTTAGTGTCCCGTCATAATGGATAAATGCTATGCCCTTACTCTTTCAGTATTTTCTATGTGTTATTCATTTATACCTCACATAAAAACAATGATTAATTGAAAAAAAGACATTTAAAAGAGACAGACCTCTGAGTTTGTTTCGGTATTTCTTCTCAGAGTAGTCAGTTAGGAAATGTCGATCTCATCATTCGCTTGATAAAATTGACGTGTAAAAGTGCTGCCTTGTAGCCTATTTGCAGAAATAAATTCACTTGTTTCACTTGAAACCCGTTTAGGTACTGATCCTATCAACATCCTACCGTTTATTCTTAAAAAGAATAGGAATTAAACTCGTTCATATCAATTTGACCCAATTTTCGCTACTTATTTGGTTTTATATAAAATTAGAGCCTAGTAGACCATACGTTTCCTATATATTTAGTTTATATACAACCTGTACTGTATTTACTTTATATGCAACATCCGATTGACTCATACACCACTACTGCATCTAATCTGCATAAAGGTAGGTGTAGTATAATAATTAACACGTTTCAATAAATAACTTATGTTAGTGCATATATTTTATGTAAATAAGAACGTATTTTAATATACCGACGAGTTGTGATTGTTTTTGCACGTTCGTGTTTAGTGAATTAAATTAAAAATTGATATTTTGTAAAATACTTATTACATTTTATGTTTATTATATTTTGAGCTCGAACCTATAGAGTATATATTTTGTGTTTTAAATAGATACGTATTGTGATAACAATTCAGTTAAAGAGCCTCACCTGAGCTTCTTCAGATTTTTTTTTTCTTCAGAAGACATCCCAGCCTTCGTCGTGTCTACGTAGGGCCATCACCTGAAACGAAAAGATTTGCAATAAGCAATAGGCCCACGTTATGTATTTGTAAAAAATGTAGACAGTAAAAAAAGATATTTTACTAAAGTTAATACACGTGCAGTTATATATACAGATATAAATATATATATATACATATATGGACTACTATCTAGCCGGTTGGATGAAGTCAACCCGCAATAACCCGTTAATGAGTAATATTTTGAAGATAGCCAATTGAAATGACCTAATGTCAGTGTGCCAATGTTCAGTACCTATTCTGAAGCAGAGACGCATTTCCTACTTATTTGAAAATACTAAACCAAACCAATAAATTACCAGCCTTCTAAAATATGTTAAAAATATTGCCCAAGATCAGTTTTACTGTTAAATTATTTTAAATTACTATGCCTTTGCTAACAGAAATCACCTTGTAGGAAGTCTGCGTTTGTCTTTTTAACTGTCAGCGTTAGACTGGTGTACAATTACATACGACCCCGGCACTGCTACACCACTTACATAAAACTAGCTAATGAGGTGTAATAACATACGTTTTTGTTGCTATATAACAAATAACATTATACACATCAAGCAGTACAAGACCAGTTCATCATGGTCTAGCCTTGTGTGATCTTTTACAGACTAAACGGTCGGTTTATATTGGCTGTATAGTTCGATACGTAGCCGTAGAGTAACAGAGTAAGTATTGGGTTTAAACACACCATGACCAGTCGCCATGGTCGCTGCTCGTGTGCCATGTTGAGAAGCCTTGAGGTGATCTGTAGCGTGGCAAACAAGGAGTGAGTCACAGCGCGTGACGTCGACACCATGTACCCATTATTTATTACCCACGAAATACTGCGGTGACGTGCAACGAGATAATGTTTTATGATTTATTTTATATACACGTGTCCGGCCGCATCAATGCTGTGATAAGCGAATCGTATTCTGCCAGCGGACTTAACAATAACCGCGTCGGTAATGTATGAATGTAAAACCTTACAGCCTTCACAAATAATGTATTTATTCAAATTCATGAATGTCTATTGATGCTCTTGTTCAAGTAAAAAATATGTTGATAATACAATAAGGCTTCTGAACACATTTCTTAGAATTGTAAAGAAGGATACAATCCAAGGTCGTACTAACAGCAGTAACAAAGTTAAACAAACTTGTTGTCGATTATGACGTTCTGTGTTCCAAGAATTTCGTGAGCAATCAGGTTGTAATTCGGGATGAAGGAAAAATCAACGTCGAAATCCGAAGAAACCAATCAAGGGCCCCATTATCACAAATGGTAGGGTTCAGGGTTAGAACTGGGGCAAATATTGAGGTTCCACGTGGAACGGAGGTCCTCGTGTAACAGGGAAGCTAATTAATTGGTTAATTCAAAACTTTCGAGTTATTTTATTTAAAATTTAATTTCGTGTTAACATTGAGATAATCTATGCTAAGGTCCGGAAGCTAAAGGGCATTTATTATTTCCAACTGTAAGCAAATTCTGTTGCTAAATATAGATCTCGTGATCGGCACGGGCTCTAGGTTTTGCGTCATCAGCCCACGCTGAGGGGAGGCTTGCGGTACGCGGGGGAAGAGGGGAGAGGGTAAGCTCGCCTTCCAACAAAGTAGAGCGCATGCGCGAACAGCGCCTACGCTAAATAATGTCAAAGGGCAATCCCGGGGAAGCCTGGATTCCTAGGGCGGAACATGCGCTCATTAATTACATAAATTCGGGTAAATATGTTTTGTATATAGGTACCTAGAGGTATATAGATCTGTTTCAAGGATTTTTATACTTGCCCAATCAAAAATTCTTTTGTTTCCTTACAGGCCACTATAGTATTCAGAAACTCCCTTAAGTTTAAAAATATTTGTTATATCTGCACAATTTCATCGTAAGTTCTATTTTGAACCTTACATTACTTAGATTAAATTTCGATTCCTAATATGAACCATCTGAAATTCAAATTCCTTCATGTTCCAGTTTTATAACTTACTTTATTTTCGCGTATTGAATAAATGTGATCGATATCAATGTGGTTATAATAATGTACATAAACAAATGACAGATAAACACGTGTAGCGTCCAATTTGAATAATGTAGCTTGGAATATGTACGCAGAAAAATAAATATTTCTTTGTAAGATAAATTGAATGTTTTATGTAACAAACATACGAATATGGTAATACAAAATTATCTTGTTGAAGATTTTGAACACAAAGTTAGATTTGAAGAACTGTACAATGATTCTGAAAATGATATGAGGCCTTAGTACGAGTTTTTTTTACGTTTTAAGTATTCGAAACGAGTACGCGTTCGGCGCTGATTGGTTGGTTTATTGGCGCCGGCCAATCAGAGTGCCGAACGCTTAAACAAACTCGTACTAATTCCTCTGAACGAAAAAAATGAACCGTAATCAATAAAAACAATAAACAGATAAAAATTCACAATAAAAAGAGAATGGAAACGAACTAATCAATATTTCTAAATTAAATGACAAAACAAAGAATCGAAAACACCAACTGGTTATATCAATACAAGTACCTAATAAAATAAAAGGTGAAAATGAAAATATTGATTCTAATAATAACAAATGAACATCAACTTGTACAAAAGGTCCTTGTATAATGGAACACATTGTATGAAAAACCGAGTCAGCGTGTATAATTGTCTAGAGCGAGTCAATTGTGGTAATTAATAATATGAGACACATACCGACCCTGAATGACATCCGATACTCTTCGGAGCTGCGGTATTAATCTTAAGGACGACAATGAACTTCCATATAATAATGTTGTTTATAGGCTTATTGAAACAAATGGCTTTTATTTCGTTCCATTGATGTTTTAAGAATAAGTGTTTTGGATTTGAAAACTCCCGAAAAACGTTTCAGATTTTTTCCCAAATACGGAAATACTTGACCAGTACTTAACTTAAATATGAATATAGGCTAACATAAGAACAAAGTAATCCATGTAAGCTACATGAAATAATGACTGCCTACTGAAACACAATGCTGTAAATTCAAGGCCTACATAAAGAGACGTTGAACAAAAACAATTCATGTCTACCTTAAAAATGATTTTTTACTCAGCTTACAACAATGTCGTTCGTCTCCATACGTCATTATTCTCATCAAGGTTTGAATAAAGTCACTGAGACCTTTTAGCGCATTGAAGGGCAAACACAATTGTGGAATGACTGTGTTTAATAAGATCAAAAGAAGGATTGGTCAGTCAAACGAGTTTATTAGTTTCGTCATACGATACGACATTTTCATCCTCGAGTTCTGCATCACTTTGATCGTGGTTACGTGTCTCCCCATTTACTTTAGCATTTTGAACGTTATTAGCATGTTGGAATACAGCACAGCAGATATTTACATATCTATTTTCATCAACAATTTAGTGCATAACTCCAAGAATATAAATATCACCGTGTGCACAGATATTTATAAGCATCAAATGCTACGTGCTCCAAGAAAGTACGGCTATAGATATATTATCGCTTCCCAGCTATTTAAACATTTCAATAAGTACCTACTTGGAAGTGTTAAGAATAGTTTGTATTATAATTATGTGTGTTTACTTATTTTCCATTATTATAGCCTTTACCTTGGAACACCTACAATAGAGCATGTTTTCATGGCAATCCAACGTGATCGTGTAGCTGATGTCAATCTTAATTGTACAATCCCTCTTAATCTGATGAAACTGCTCCCCAGAACGCAGTGCCATGCAATGAATTTTAATATTCCCTTTTGCATTTATACATTGCAGCATGCGTCTCTGACGGTGCATCAAAAATAACCAGAGTGAGCATTCCATATAGAGGCAAAAATCTCAGTAATAAAGATAAATGTGAATGATAAAACAAATTAGCATTCTCATTCTCATCCAATGGTACTGCGGCGTACGGTGCCTAGGGGAACATCTGACAAATGCACACAAAGGTCACATTCCCGTCGGTTACCATTACGACTCCATAAAACGTTCTGTTTTAAATTGCAAGCAAACGTGCAGACGAGTAAAACAGAAATAAATAAGCAAGTCTGCGCTGGCAGCGCTGTTGCTAGGCGCGCTCAAGGTCTGCGCGGCCCTGGCCGTGCCCCCCGCATACCCTCTGCCCTTCCCCCCGCGCATGTGCACCGCTCAAGCTGCATTCGCCAGCCGCACACACGCGCATCTTTGCACACATTTCAAGCACCACTACATGCCCGCTCTGTACCGACGTACTGCACGTGTAAGCTTAGAAAGGGTTCGCGTTAGTGAGCGTGTCGTATACACACGATCTCTGATTAATGATGGTGGATATTCTTAGTTTTGTATACAACACACATGTACCTTGTATCCATGTGTTAGTGTACATAGTGTGCGCTCCTAACTAAATGTGGAAACTGCCTGCTTACGTGACATCCGTGGAATGTATCTTCCGTCAAAACTCAAACTGTTTTTTTGCGAACTCCGCATACCTATTTCCCCAAAATATTTCTAGGACAATATTTAATAATTCTACAACTTTTTTAAAAAGAGGTATGTATACTTTTTTATAAGTTTTTGAATATTAAAATAATGAATGATCTTTAAATTTTTCACTAGTATAACACGGTGGTGACCAATCCTCAAAAAATGAACAGCAAATTGCAATGCAACATTTAGTCAGCTCAGCAATGCATCAAAGTCCGAGAATATTTTTTGTCGAGTTATTTCGATACTACTACAAATCACCGACACGCTATATTTATGACTTACACGAAATTCTTTCGTGTATCCAATTTATTTTCGAACGACGGTTGTATGAAAAGTTTACAATTTTCCTACGGAAGCGCGGAAGTTGTATATGTTCCAAGTGTTTCGTCATTGTGAAGATGCAACTGGCTTACATTGTAATACCTATTTGGCATGCTATGGCCAGCTGCCAGAAATTAAGTGACGATGTCAGTTTTTTACGTAATATTAGTTTACTATGATAATGGCTATTATTACAGCTTGACCCTGGCACAAATATATTGTATAAAAAT